TTTATTTAATTAACAAAAACAAACGAACAGAAAATTGTGTTTTTTACCTGGTCAAATTTATAAGAACACATACAAGTTTTTGTAGTCTATCTCATAAAATAAAATCAATATTTCGATGATGTATGTCCTCTAAGTCGAATTGATTGTTTCATAGGTTGAGGCATCGATCGAACGAGATTTTCACATAATCTGACCGATATTCCTTCCCATATCTTGACAATGGCTTGTTGAAGATCACTAATATTAGTTAATCTATAATAGGTCAGTCCTTTCTCAATTATACCCCAAAGATTCTCAATAACGTTGAAGTCTGGTGATACTGCCGACCATTCTAGAAGATTAATTTTGTTCGTCTTGAACCAGTTCATACTAAATTTAGATTTGTGACGTGATGCGTTATCGTGAATATAATACGATGGACCATTTCCATCGAAATTTTGTTAATATAAGGTAATAATTTATCTTGAATAACATTGATATAATTTTTACGGTTCAGTCGGCTATCATAAAAAACCAAAGGACCAACTACTTTAGCTGTTATGGCGTCCCAAACACTAAGTGATCCACCAACACCATGAACACGTGGTCGAAAGCAGAATGGTTTATTAGATTCTGATGGAAGACGACGAACATAAGTTTGATTTTTCGGTTGAAAGCTATAAAATGAGATTCACCTAAGAAAATAACGGTTTTCCAACCGCTAAAATTCCAATCACAACACTTTTCACCAAAATGGAGTCGAGCAGAACAATGAGCTGGTTTTCGATATGGTTTGCATCTTCCGTTATAACTTCTATAACCAGCATTCAGTAAACGTCGACGTACTGTTCTTGCACTAATAGATTTCTCATTCGATAAATTTCATTCGGCAGCTAATTCTCGACCAGTTTTTTCACGATCCTCATTGGATGTTGTTAATTGTTTTCTGACCCGACCGGAACGATTTGTCAAAGGTAGTTTTGCTTTTTCGTTTTTTGCAACATTACTAATGCACCCATTCGAAACGCCCAGTTGATTTCGAATTTTTCGTATGTAAAACCCACTTCCAAAAGTGTCAGCACCTGTATCTTTGGATAAATTGTAACTTTTTTTCGACCCATAGTAATGAGTGTAAATGTAGCTGTATTGAACGTGTACTCGATACAAAAATCAACCGAATAATGCTTGAAAGAATAGAAAACATATGGTCACATGGCATATCACCCTCATTTTCATAGCCGCCGTCCGCTTTACGAAATAGACTATAAAAACTTGTATGTGTTCTTATAAACTTGACCAGGCCAAAAACACAATTTTCTGTTCGTTTGTTTTTCTTAAGTAAATAAATATAATTGAAAATCATCGAATGTAATATTTGGATAGAGCATACTTGGATGTACACTGATAAAAATTTTCTTAGAATAATAAACCCTCAAAAAAGGGTTTATAACTGAAAAATTCGTTTATCAACGTGATCTATCCCTTGATCAACCCTTTTTTCTTGATAAACCCCAAAAAGGTATATTATCCGTTGCAAACTGATAAACCCAACAGTTTAT